ATATATATATATATATATATATATATATATATATAGCAACACGAAAAACACTAGATCACAAATATAATGTGGCTACACGGAGGAACGTCACCCACCAACAAAAACGGCGCTCCACATAAACAAAAAAGTGGATTCTGAGAAGATCAGGAAAGAAATGCAAACTGACGTCTCAAAATTTCCTGTCGGCACACTGGACACAAGTGCATGTCCTGCGAGCACAGCCAGCATACGCACAGGTGACGACAAGGGCCGAATAATGTGTCCCGTTTGTGGATCATGCACACAACACACTCTTCTCCCTCGTGTCGCGCGGGGGTTGGTGTATACTGCGTTGGTGGCATATCACATCCGCTACGCGAGGAAGATGAAAGAACCTTTGCCACGAGGACACAACCATATACACCTACCGCTGTCAACAAGGAATAATTCACCAACCGTACAGCACCTGAACTACCTTCCGTCCGCAGCAGTCTATCCAACTCTTCCCTCTGCCGAGTTATAGTCGCCTGCAGATCACCTATGACTTCTTGCTGTCGGGACTGCCTTTTGCAGAGAGTCCACAGTGCAATGCCAAGGGGTAGAAGAACAATAGTCTCCATTGCCTAGCTACCTACCCATTATATATATATATATTATATATATATATAATGGCGTACCTTACAGCAATCAAAATAATAATAATAATAATAATAATAATAATAATAAGGGTAATCGAAGCTTATACACAGGCTCAATTTATCCTTTAAAAAAAACTGTATGCAAGAGACACAGCTTCGGTTGAACATAGAAAGTGATATTTCTAGAGGGAAGGGTACAGGTTACAAACCAACACACATCCGCACACGTACGCAGAAACGCACTAAAAATAAGAACAACAAAAACCCTAGAAGGAACACGTCCCCTCATACAACAACAACTACGCATACATATATACATGTATATCCAGACAGATAGATTGATAGAAGAAAAGGCATAATAAAATAAAATAAAATAAAATAAAAATAAAAAAGTATCATTAAATATTAGCCGTTCGTCAAAGTAACAACATCAGACCTGAAGGTTTAGCGACTCGAGTGCATGTTGAAAGAGCGCCAAAGAATCATCGTAAAGATAGAGTCATCGTTGCAGGCAGCCGACACCGCGCGCCAAAAATAAAGGAAGCAGTCATATGACAACATTGTGGATGCATTCTCGCCAAAGCACTGCCTCATCACGAAACGCCAATCATCTGCGTCACCCATCAGCGCATCTTCCACCTTTTCAGGGTGAAACAGCGCCAACACACGCTCCAGTTCAACAGTTTCCTGTTTCTGTGTAATCTCTCCCACATTTTTTTTAAGCTGATCAAAAAGTTGGCGGACAAGCGCCTCCCGTTTTGTTGAAAGTTCACCTGAAAGCAGCATTACAAAACGTTCTCGATCCTGTCCCTTGAATCGCAACCACTCAAGCTCGACGTCGCTCACGGCATCGGGAACACCAGCCCCACGAAGCACACTAATGAAGCCTGCGATAGAAAGTGGACCATCTGGAAGCGCAAGGTGTAGACGTGGGATGGCCAACATACCACCCATCTTCACCACATAGCGCCGCACGGCCTCTTCGACAATGATAAAAAGCGATTTACTCACAGGAATAAAATGCCGCGTAAATTCACGAAGAAGCGTGCATACAGAAACACGTTCTTCATGGCCTTCATGTAAATAATAAAATAGCTGACGCACTTCCTCTAAGCTAAGACCAACACGCAGATACTTACATAGTTCTTCAAAGGACTGGGGTGTCAAAAAAGATTTCCCAAGATCCATTCCAGTATCGATATAAACGTTAGAATGCTCGTTAAGTTTCATATCATGATCCGGTTTTAGGGACAGACGACGTAGCCCATCAATAAGTGCAAGTGTACCTGAGGACCCAGCTCTATTTGGGTCACAAACACCTTCAGCAAAGACAGACATAAGCAATGCAAACCTCACATCCGAAGGCAAGGGCCTTTGGTATAGAAACGCAAAAAGATAGGAACCATCAATGGCCACTGTAGATGAGGAAGGAGGTGGCCCCATGGAACAGTATTCAGTTAGACACAACGCCTCTGAAAGTGTCATACCGTAGGATTCCGTTAGGAAATCAAGAATCGTAGCTGTCTCAAGAACACAAGCTTTTGTGTTGCCTTCTTGTATACACTTCATCAGTGCTTTGCCACAAATCGAATCATACGGATGGGGTCTTTGAGGTCTAGCGTCAATGCAACGAGACATTTCTAGAAACAACGAGGCTTGCATAGGACACATCTGCCGCAGGCGCAACAACAACATTACAGGACTAACTCGAATATCATCAATCCCGTTCGCCGTCCCGGTATCCCCATCGCCGTCAAGCGGCAACATTGCAAGAAGTATTAAGAGTTCCCTATCACTCACAGTACTTGCCGGAAAAATCTGGCGTAGAATGCCCTTTAAGGGCCAAAGTTCGATCGCGTGCATATGCGAGCGCACACGATACCTCGTATCAAGCTGCGTAAATGATGGGGATAGTAGGCGTAGAAATGAAGAGGTTTCACACTTCACAAGATTCTGAGTAATTCTGTGGTACAGACGCAGCAAGTACTGGGGGTCTCGCAGAAGCGACTCTGCGGTAGTATCAAGCAACATCAAACCTAATAAAACGTTTTGCCTCTTTTTCTGCGCAATTATACTTCCCCTCTTTAGCTCTGCCTTATGCCACTCGAACTCCCAGGGAGACCATAAACAAACAATAAGATGAAGTATAGTGATAATCGACTTACTCCTCACTGGATGTGTTACCCCACAATAGTAAAAAAAAAAAAAAAAAAAACAACTATTTTTCTTTCTTTTTTTCTTTTTTATACATAATTGTGTATCAACGTTTTATTTTTGCCAGGGAGAGACGCGGAGTCTGTTATTATTATTATTATTGTTGCTTTATTGTTAGTGTAATCCTTGTCTTACCGTAACTGAAGTCCAAACTTATCGATGTGGAGTCAACTGTCCCATCGTTATCAACTTCTACACTCCCCCAACTTCACTCACTTGTATATGGACTAACCTTACTAGTAACTTCATTGTGTATCGACATGTCTCTCCATCTACAATTTAGCTTTTTAACTCCCCACCCACCACCACCCAAGTCTTGTTTTGACCGTTGTTATGTCCATATATATATATATATATATATATATATATATATATTAATATCACTGTCGGCTGGTTGACACGTACGTTTATTTATTGTAATCTATTTAATACACAGTTAAGCTTTTCAGGCTATCGTTCAATCGCTCCACAGAAATGTCCACTGCACGTATCTTCCGTTGGACTGCCCGCAGCCGGGACTCGCCCAGCGCGATCAACGTATCTAGCCGAAATCGCTCTTCTTCCTTCCTCTCATAAAGTTGAATAAGCGAGCGGTGCACTACCTCAGACGGGTGCAACCCAGCGAGTTTACACAAGAGCTCTTCATCATCATGCAATACAGTTTCATCCATTACTTGCAGAAGAAGATGACACTGCCGTGCTAATTCCTCGCTGTCATTGATTCCCACAAAGGTACTGTGATAGCGGTGTTGCGCCACGTCAAGGTTCTTCCTCGCAGCGAGGACATCCCTCTTGGTCCCCTCAGCGTCCCTTCGCTGCTTCTCAATAACGTCCGACGTTGACGTATCACATGGCATGTAAAGTTCTTTCATTTCTTCTTTTGTTCGTGAGGACTCTAACGACAGCTGCTGCAAATTTGAGTCGTCTATTTTTGCCTCCAGCAACTCCTCTATGATAGGCTCCAACAAGTGTGGCGACTGCCGTGAGAAAGAACCCCCCGATACATCTATTGAGCTTGTAAAAGGACTGATACCCAACGCCACTAACCGCCCGTTGTACTGTGACTTAAGCGCACCCCACGCAGCGGCGTCCTCTGTGGAACGCAATATCGGGGGAAGGGAACGACAGCATACTTCCTTCAAGAGACGCAAATGCGCTTTGCCATTAGTGTGATCGTCAAATATGTAAGCAAGACAGGTTCGCAAGACGTGTACCACGTTTCCAGGATGAACGTGCCTCGTCAGCGCCTCTATCGTCCGTTCAAATACCAAAGCATCCACCTCAAAGCAAACGCACATCTCCAACAGCGACAATAAACCACTAAGCCCATGCGGCCCATCGTCTCTCCAAATATTTTCCAAGAGGGTGTTGTCGCCGACGATACAACTTTGCAACAGTGCGTCTACCACAGCATACGAAGTACAACAGAACACATACCGCTCACAGGTTGGGTCCGTTAGGAAGGCATTGGCAAGAAATGGAGATGCTGTAATAAGTGCATTCAAAGCAACGGGAATTTCGCGTCCTTCCACGACCAACGCCACAATGCGCTCCATTAGCCGCCTTATGTAACCAACAAGAAGTATGTCACGGTGAAGTGCAAATCGAATTTCCTCGTCTCCCCTGTGTTCCCCCTTTTACTTATGTTTTCAAGTTTAATTGGTGAAAAAGGTCAAGGCATGAAGCTGCAATGCAATATATAAAAGCCCATTGAAAACTCCACATTACAGTAAAGAAGAGGGCAATAAGAAAAAACGAAACTAAAAAAAAATAATAATAGCGATAATAATAATAAAATTTCTAATGAAAGTTAAACCCCATAAAAAGGATCTCACTTTTCCCTGCTCTATGTGACCCCTCTTTCTTACTCAGGGTGCTGGCGAGAAGGAGCTACTTACAACTCCTTCGCCTTACTTTGAGCAGCAGTCAGACGAACAGCGGACGGGGCGTGAAACTTTGGAAGCAGTGGGTACATTGCACCTGCCGCCAACGCCGTCACCATTGCCACCCACTCCACCATGGTGAAGTGGCGGTAATGACCAAAGTAAGCAACAGACAGCGCAAAAGTGCATAGTTTGCGGAGCGTCAGTGTAAGAATTAGGGTAAAGGCGGATGTTTTGTCATTCAGCACATAAACACCAGTTATACATACATATTGCGAAAAGGCGTTCAATGCAAAGTATATGTAGTTACTCTGAGAAATGGAGGTAAATTCCCTAAAAAGGCGTTGTGGCTGCAACAAAAACAAGGGTAGAGAAATGAAATGAGAGAAAAAAAGAGCTTCTGCCCACATTGGTGGTGGTGGTGGTGATGGCAATAACGTGGGTGCCACTTCTGACATTTTCGCATCCTCCCCTTTACGGCGTGCCATTTTATACATGTACTCCTGAAAGATTCCAAGACCCGTGGAAAGAACCGTGGTGAAGGCGAGAACGGTCAGTCCTAAAAACCACCAAATATTCTCTTCCGATATCTGCCTAGCACTGTCAGCTTCAGTGCTGCGAACCTTCTGTGACTTTTCTATTGCAAGAGCAATAAGACCACCCGATATGGCTGTGGCACAAAGCACCTGTGGAAATGTATATCGTTTTTCCAAAAAAAAGTGGCCTGCCAACATATTTAGTAAAAGTGATGACGATCTAAACGTTGCGTGAAGAGGCACAGAAATGTAAAACCCAAATACCATGTTGCTGCCCACAGCCATGAGCCACGAAGCCGTAGCAAGAATGAATTTGTGTCGCATCCGTATCCGCATCGGTCTCAAACGCAGAGAAAACCATCCACGACTACGCGACAAATCGGCAAAGTCAATCACCAGCGGAAGAGCAAGAAGTGTAACAACTACATACTGAGCAAATGTCATAGCGTACAAAGTGTGGGGGCTTTGCATTATAATGAGCTCGAGTAAAAACACATTTGCCTGGCAACCACTCAAGACACCACAAAGTGCCAATGCTGCGTCTGACATGACAATGATCTTCTTCCTGAGGTGTTTGGGGAAAAGAATTTTAAAAAAATGTTCAGACAATAAAAAAAAAAAAAAAAGGAAGCCACAACACAAAGATGTCGTTCGGACACAAATCAAAAAGAGGCTAGTAAAATACAGAACACAGAAAGCAACTCCATAAGAAGGCGGAAAAACAACACACAAACTACCGTTAATAATAAAACAGTGAGCAATGAACATGTATATACATATATATATATATATACGGAGAAGAAAACAAGGCAGAAAAAGGAAAGGGGCAACACAACAACAAAAGGAACCAAAATATGTAAGTTATACTACCACCACATTTTATTCCATGTTTCGCAATGTAATACGCTGCGCACGAGTGATTGCCACAAATTAAGGAAATGTCAGAAAACACCACCTCTACCCCAATCATCTAGGAGTTACCACGCCTGAACTTATCAAGAGTAGGGTCCTCTGCAGCGGCAGCATTGGCAGGCATCAACTGTGACCACGGCTTCACATCATTTGCTTTCGACTGAGACAGCTTTCTGCGGCGACAACCAGCGCAGGAATGGGTACAACCACCACCGAAGGACCCATTCCATGGCCTCGTGGTCTCGTTTAGAAAAACTAGAGGAGAATGACGACGTCGCAACTGTGACGACATCCCATTCCGCTGGCGGTGCCCATGACCATTTAAAGGCAAATGCTGTGCAGTGGCAACTCGAACAAACTGTGCAGGATCCACGCTTTGCATAAAAGCCCTAAACGAAAGCTCAGGATTACGGCGTTTGATTTTTCGTTTAATAATATCGGCGTGGGGATTGTAAGTATTAACATCCGACGCCACATGCTGCCGCATTACACCTGCAATTGCGCGTCGTCGATAAGTCTCATCGACACTGTGCCTAGTCACGGCCAACTGATGATGCAGGCTCGTTATTGCCGAGTCCTGCTTTTGAGACTCCTTTACACGGTCCTTGGCCTTGATGTTGTCAACCCGCTGCGCTCGAAGTTCTTCCTCTACCTTTTCAAGCTTTGCCGTTAGATCCACCACCTCACGTTGCGCATTCCGATGCCCTTGATTTAACCTTTCCCACTCGGACTGCGCATCACGAAGTTGTCGTTCAGTCACCTGCTCCTTCGCATTGTGCTCCTCAATGTAAGTAAAGAGATGAGCAATCTGCTGCTCCATATGTTCACGTTCGTTTCTATAATCCTGGTCGAGAGAGACAAGGTTCTTATATTCATCCTCGCGGTTCTGCAACTGCCCCTGTAGGTGGTGGTTTTCCTTTTCTAAATCTTCTATTCTGTACTCCAACTCCCTATTCCGCAGCAACACCTCTTCTAGTTGTCGTTTCAGCGTTCGCAGTTGACTCCGCAGCTGCACATTTTCGTGGCCCTGATGCAATGAAGAGGATCCAGCACCGCTCGCACCCTCACCACAACTGTCCCCAAATGACAGGAAACGCGCCTTTTGATGTGGAGTAAGCAAAAGCCAAATGGTACGAAATGCCTCATCCTTTTTCCGCATTTCCTGTAGTAGTGCTCCCTGTTGTTTATTACTGCGATCAAGTTCATGCTCCGTACTATTTAAACGACCTTGCAGAACATCGCAGAGATTACGCTGCTCTTCAAGTACCGTCCGTAGTTGCTCGCACTGTTCATCTCGTTCAGTGGAGGCCTTGAACCAAGCCACTGTCTCCTCGCGGATGGCACGCTCGGCGTACTCGCGTAGAAGCCTTAAATTAAGTTCCTCAATTTGTTCTTTCAACTCCACATTTTCCTCAGCAGCCGCCTTCAACTTCTGAGAGGATTCCTCCTGAGCGCTTTCAAGTCGCACCAGCCTTTTTCGGGTTTCTAAAAGGTCCGCCGTCATTCGATGCTGCTCACACCGCATTCCTTCCATCACCTTGGCTATAATCTTTTTCTGTTGACATACACTGTCTAACTCTTCCTGTCTCCATACAATCGTGCCAGCCACCTTGCGGCGCAAGTCACATGTTGCCAACTCAGGCGGTGCTTCTTCCAGGCCTCGCTGTGCCTCTTCCCTTTTCTTCGCTAGTTGTTGTAGCTCCTGAACCACGTTCCCTGTAACATCTCCTCGTGATGCAAACGCATTCAACTCCTTTTCTCGGTTACCCAAAATGCGTTGAAAAACAGCACACTGACGCTCCAACTCCAAGACATGTTCATGTACATTGATAATTTCAGGCCTCCCCCCCACTGGAACGGAAGATATTCTTAATGCATGCTCATCAGTCGTGTCGGTAGTTCCTGTCTCTGCGTTTGTGGTAGTGGGACTGAGCCCCTTTACGATGAGAGCAGAGCATTGATTTTGGGCATTTAACTCCTCCTGGAGTGAATGTACACGATAGCGCAACGTGTCCACCTCCTTAATCAACTGCATGTAGGTATCCTCAAAACTACCTGTTAAATTAGGAAGAAAATCTATTGTGCGTTTTTTGCCTTTTTTCACAACATATCGTTTTGCTATTGTGGCGAAATCAAGAGACCTTCTTGTTTCCGCGTAATCCCGTTCGTCCATTGACACGGTTGCAATGAGGAATAGGTAGCTGCCGACGAGAGCAGAGGCAATATCGCGAATTAGGATGGATTCTCCTTCTGGCAATTCCTCTGTATCATCTGCAACAGCCTTAAGAACAGCATGTATCACGGAAAGAGAATTATTAATGTCATGCTTTTTCTCAAGTTCTACGTCTGCAACACCCTCCGAAACTGCAAGATCGCCCAGCGTTAAACTACTTTTTAGTACAGGAATACCCTCAGCACTTTTTGTCACATAGAAGGAAACGAACGCGTGGGAACAAGAACTCAGTGCATTCAATGTCTGAGAACCTACAAATCGTTTTTGTTGCGCCTCAGCAATCTTTGACCTTGCATCCGCAGCATCACGCACAATATACCGTGGTTCCCGCATCAATGTTCCTTTTGTTTTGTTCAGAAGTACCCCTTGCTCAGACCTATCTTCACCGAGTAGATTGTAAGCATCGTTGTTGCATATTTGTACGTACGACAACTCCACAGTATCATTCTCCGCATCCAGAGTGTCAAACAAGGCCGTAATAAAGGCAAGGGTAATGGCGTTTGTTGTATGCATTCTACCACTAATTCCTTGACCGTAGCACAGCACACAGGCATTAAACCCTGCTTTCATTTTACCAATTATGCCTGGAACGATCGAGCGGCACATTTCTTCATCTGTTACAGAAGAGTCAATGACATCCCCAAACTCATACACGTGCTGCACCTCTTTAGCGTCCCCTGACATTGGGGGCGAAACAGTCAATATCTTCCCACGATTCGCTACGCCCACCCGCGGGGTATACATTGCTTGGGGTAAGCCGTTTTGGCTTGGTGTTACCGTTGCTGTTAATGTTGACATGGGAGAGCCAATAGAACAGTTGTCGTTCACCGTACAAGCAAGTTCGTCGTTTTGAAACCTCCCACGGTTGAGCAATTGCGCCTCACCACCATTAACAGAGCTGACCGCATTTTCGTGGGTATGACTAACCTGAAGATGTCCAATACAGGGAGTACCTAAAGTACCCGACTCAATGGAATACTGCAAAACAGGGTTGCCGACGCCGTCAGACGTGGGAGGCCTCAACCGAACGACAACATTCACAAACTCTTGAAAATATTGTGCCTCATCAGGCGTTGGATTGCTCCAATTTTGAGACTGCATTGAAGAAACTACGCCGTTCTCCCCGCCAACACGACTCTCCATATTGGCCGAGGCATCACTGGTGATTTGGAGCGATTCCAGCGAGGAATGAGGGAAACTACATGACGCCATCTTGGTTGCTATCTGCCTGCTCACCCTTCCCTTCTCGTACAGTGTTCGTTTTGATTGTTTGCTTTCGCTGTAGTAGCTGTCAGCGGATCAACCAACGCCCACAACGCCCACAACGCCCCCCAACCCAGAATCGTACACGCACAGGCACACACACCTCACCCACTTTTGTTTTTTCTCTTTTTGTGGTAGAAAACGTGGACCGATAGAGAAATGCACTGCTATGTTTATGTGAGCAATACCTTGTTTTTCTTTCTCCGATTTATCGCAGTATCAACTGCCGCTGGTGTGAAAACGTAAATATGCCTCTACACCTCCCAGCAGCAACCGTAGATGCCTAACAGTTACGGCGATTTTCCCCTCGTCCAGGCCGTTTCCAGACACCCCTCCCCCGTTGTTTTACAGTGGGAACGGACACGCTCACTTTAGTAAAAACCACCAAAAACCGCAGGGTAGGTTAAACAGGAAGCGAAAAAAAAAAAAGAACACAGAAGAATAATACGTAGGAAAAAAAAAAACAGGCACAAATACATCGCCTCCAAAGACGCAAACACAACCTCCAAAATAATAAAAACAAGACACCATATATATTTGAAAACTCATCCGTTCCCCCTTCACGACAAGCTCATAAACAATACTGGCATTTTTAAGTATCTGCGCCTCTCTCTTCAGTCTCCCCTACAACTCTCTCGATTTGCCTCTTTTTAATACCCCAAAGGCCTTTCTTCCTTCGCTTTATTCCCCTCATCAGAAATATCATTCGTTTCTACCCCGCGAATTGTCCACTTTCCGACGCACAGCCACAAACAAATGACAGTCAAATTTATGTTATTCGCCTCATTTCATCTCTTTCGTGTCACCACAGTACCGCCAATTAAAGTGCCAGTCACATACTTCTACGTCCAAAAGGAGCATTGTGTTTGCTGTTCGCCGTCCCTCCACCATTGCTCCTGCTATAACTGTGCAAACTCCACAAAGCAAACACAACACAAATATATCCGCCCCACTCGTGAACTCCACAGGGACCCGCAAACGAGTCTCTCGCTCACCGGCAGTCACATCTTCCCGTCTCATTCGTGAGCATGCAAATACATAAAGCTTTAAAACCCACACACCAACAGAAATAAAGAAAAATCATTTGTCAGTCTTATACATTCCTATAGGCCTCATTCGCATACACAAACCTCTACCAGAGGCACAACGGACGCAGTAAATAATCATGGTAATCATCTCCACCATAGATTACCACGTCACAAATCAGTACACGCAGTAGAGGACAACTTACAACACCAATACTTAGAGAAACAGAAACCTGGCCAGCACACACCTAAAGACTCAGGCTATCCAACACAAATTATAAAAAAAGCAGTTAAGATATATCATAATATTCATTTCACCTCATTTACCACACACACACACACACACACACACAACAAAACAGTACTCACCTCGGCAGGAAAACCATACTACAAAGCTTCATTTTCATTAACAGGTTCATTGCCTCTCTTTTCCATATACTGCTCAATAACATTTCCACCGTAAGCCTTCGACACGCAGCCGAACATATCCGTCCACTGCATAAACTTGTGCGACGCCACCTTGACAATATCTTGAATAAACCACCACACAATGCAGTAAATCCACACCCACAGCGGCAAGAGCCTCTCGCTGTTGGTATTTCCCCACGCAAGACCCTCCGTCAGCAAACCATCCGGACGCGACTCGTGCCAAAATGAGGCCACCACTGATGACACCATCAGCGAGATAACCGCACCAGTGAGCAGGACAAAGCCAGGCATCATCGAAAAGAACCACTCCCCACCGGTACGTGATGAAAAGAGAGTCAAGAAATCGGAGATGGAAATCTTGAGGTACAGTAGTGTCACAACCTTGCCCTGCTTCAGCTGTGCGAGACCAAGATGCTTAAACCAGGAGTGATGGTAGGACTCATCACTCCAAG